GCTATTTGTGTTCATGTGTTACTTGAAATCTATAAAAAAGGATCCTCTTTTTAAGATTTTATAAAAATACTAAAGAGTATTACCTAAAGTTTACCTTTTCAAATCTTATAGAGATTGTGTTTAATGCTTTTATAATTGGCATATGTAAAAAGGACCATGGAAACAGAAGCTAGTGATAGAATTGCTCAATTATTATTGCTTTCATATTTTAAATTCAAAATGGCGCCGATATGTATAACTGGAGGCTTTGGAAGTACAGGAGAAAAGGTGTTTTGACAAACAGTTATCAATAATAAACAGCCTAAATTAAAAATAAAATTATATGGGATTGGGATTGAAAGATTATTGGATTCTGGTGCTGGGTATATCTATAATTTCACAAGAATCCTGAGATCCCAATTGGCCCCTTATAAGATTCTACCTCTCACCTACAAGGTATCGGCACAGCTCAGACGCCATTACAGAGCAAGCTACTTTTAAATTAAAAGGATGAGAAAGGTCATGCAAGAACTTTTCGACCCTTTATGTTACCTGACATTCCAGTGAACTTATGGGGACGGGATGTGTTAGACGTTCTTGGAGCAGTGCTTACTACACAGCCTGTACAACAGATGCTAAAGAGTCAGGGCTACTGCCCTGACAGAGGCTTAGGAAAAATGTTGCAAGGAGGCCCACAACCTGTGACAGACAAAAACTGTGTCACTGGAGGTCCTGGGGATACTAGAGGATTAGGGTCTTTTCTATAGAGGTCACTACACAACAGCCTTCAATAATACAACCAATAAAAATCACTTGAAAAAGTGATAACCCTGTGTGGATGGAGCAATGGCCCCTTACTAAGGAAAAATCAGAGGCTGCGTATGCATTGGTTAAGGAGCAGTTAGATGCTAGACATATCATTCCTTCCACTTCACCTTGGAACTCACCTATATTTGTTATTTAAAAAAAATCAGGAAAATGGAGGCTATTGCAGGATCTTAGAGCTGTAAATAAAACCATGTTTCTCATGGGAGCAACACAGCCTGGCTTGCCTGCCCCTGTGGCAATTCCTAAA